ACGACGTTTCCTCCGCTCCATTTATGATGTTATGACCACTAGGAACGGCACTGACGCAACGCAGCAGCCACCAGTTTTGACTACGTGATAATCAAACTTCGGAAAGTGCCGGAAACTCAGCTTCAACAGTGTTGGATTGGCACCAAACCAATGCCGCAGCTATTGGTCCTTAGGGTTCTTCCTTGATGGTTCATCCTTCACCTGCCCAGTCCTAGGGCGTTTATCAGACCCGAAGCTACTGTCCTTCTCCCCACCTTGACCGTTCTGCCAATAAGGCTTAGATTGGGGGTCGCCGAAATGTTTACGATAACGGCAATCCCTACCGAAGGGACAGGATTGGCGAGTGAAACGGCAAGTGTCAGCACCGAAGTGCATAGCCCTCCCTTGCCTACGTATACCACTTGCCCGAAGGTGGCCTGGGTATGCCAGATTGGCTCACCGCTGGTTTAGCCAAGGCTACAGCTATCAACTCGTGAGACTGGTTGGATCTTAAATAGGTACCGAGGGCAGAGTCGACTTGGAGAGAAGGGTCAGTGTCCCGCAGGGGGGTGACCCCTTGTGGCAAGGCCAGCCTGTAACCCTTATCACACTCGACTGCTGCCTCGATTGATCGTGACCTCGCTAACCAGAGCAACCGGCTCAGATAAGCAACCGTGCCTTCCTCAGCTTCGAGAAGATCTCGACCACGGCGACACCACCACCACCACCATAGTTTTTGTTGGAACCGACGACTTCGCTGGCAGTACCGGGACTTTTGATGGATGAGCTGGCAGACTTCGCATCGGCTACCTCCGTCATAGTGGTTGTTTCGGACTCTCCGTCGAGTCCCCCATATGCACACCTTCTCAATAGTTCGTCGGTCAGCTCCAGGGCCGCCTCGAGCACACCCACAGTACTAATACCCATGTCGACACAAACATTCGACGCTTTCTCAGCCAAGTCGGGAAGAACTTCGCGGAAGGGGTCGGGCGTGCTGGACGTGGTAGAAATATAAAAACAATCTGCAACCAGCTCACGTAAATCGTAGCATGACCCAATACTCGTCTAGCCGAATTCTGTGGCGGAGTTTCTGCCTAGCCTGGCACGCTAAGCTAAGGTCCTCAGCTCGGGCACCGAGCCTCGGTGGAGAACACGGTGTCGCAGTCACTGTCTCTAGGGCAACGAGAGATTGAGCGGACACGGAGGCAAGTCGACGAGTGGTCAGCCACGCGAGGCGGCCGTCCTAAACTCGTAGAGCCACTCTAGCCCGATCAACTCTGGGTATCAGCTTGGTCTAACCCCGAGACAGAGACGCACAGAACCCAGGTCTCATGATGAGACTAACATCCCGCCGGGATGATCCCGGCAGGGCTACTACTCGAGACCACCTCGAGAGTCACGACAGCTTCCGCTTGTCGTTCTTTACCCCACCATCCAGCCACTAAGGGAGTGACTCAATCATGGTGTCGACCATGTGATATTGTTATCAACAATTCGTTGACGTCCCAATGGTTCGGACCCTACGCCATAGGTCGGTGCTGTAGGGATAGCGATCCCAGCCTATATTTGACCTGCCACTTCAGGGCGGCACATGACTGGGCCACGTTGGTTCCCTACCAAGTCCCAGTCAGTGCTTAAAACACAACATATTAAGTGAAACCGCACAATGATGGAAAAATTAGTCTTAAACCTGCCACTTCATACACGATATTCGATGAACCTGAAGAAAAGAAGCAAAGGGATGAAAGGAAAGAACCAAGAAGACTGAAAGGAAGAAAGAAAGAGGAAAAAAATCTAAACACCGTCACACCCAAGATAGAGTGCTTGAGGGTTTCCAACAGGAATTCTCAAGCACTCTGGGGGAACTTTCTCTGTTCTTGGGTGTATGTTCCGAAGGTGATCAGACTGGATCACTGCTTTAGCAACGACTTGACGTCTTGCTTTTCTCTTGAAATTCCGTCATCTGTCTTTCGGCTATCCGTGAACTTGCTCTCTTGGGAGACCTTCACTCCTCATGCTGATCTGCGACCCTGAGAGTCCCAACCTTAGCCTTGCCGTACCGTGTCATGGATATTGATTGCATCATAGTTTCCTAATGCTCTCTCTATGTATGCCCCATTCACGGCAAAATTGAGGCGTGATTGACCACTTGTAGCCTCTACGTCTGGAAGCATCATCGTCAATTACTGTTTCTTCCGTTGGTTCGCCCGAAATGGGTGATCATGTCATTGTGTTTGAGATGCCAAGATGGCACACGCGTTCACGCGTGCGAGTTGGCACGAATACATGATGCAATCAGTTTTGTTTTAGCGATAGACCTCTCCCAGATTATATCGTTTTACTCTCATTGGTTGTTGAGGCCGAGTTGCACAACAGGCTCAGGCTGAGCAGCTCAGTCGTGATTTCGAGTTAACGATGAGTGATGTATCGAGATAATGTGGGTCGAATCGATTGACCTTCCCTTCTCTAAAAAACGACGTTCGAAAATATTCTCTCCAACTGTTTCTGAGCTTCACTTTGTAGCTTTCCCGCTCCTGTTGAATAATGATCGAGCCTACAACTCTTCCCGAAGATGAGAATAACGGCAACTGTCCGGGGTACCTGCTAGGCCTCTATACTTACGTCGACCCCATAGACCACGGAGGCGAGCCCCTTGGTTTCCGTCCTCCCACTGCCGACCTGTATGTCTACGAAGACAAAGGAGAGTGTCAGATGATGATTCTCCTGTACAGACCTCGTCATGTATTAGAGCCTGCCATAACCTCACTAAAATTGCATGAGAACTCCTTGATGCTGTCTGAAGGCTTCAAACCGACATTGCTCCCCGAAGATGCCAAGCATATTTCCGATACCACCTTCACGAAGTTGGGTTATGACTATCCCAAGAAAGAGATCACTATTTACTTGGCCGGAGGGAAGCAATGTGTTTATCGCCGCGATAGGTATGCCGATCTGTAGAAATATCTATCGCCTGGTTGCAAGCTCTCTGAAGTACTATGAGCTAGGTCTGAAAGAGAAATATTGTTTCCATCGTTATAATCTTATTTACTTGTTTTCGATCCCTTCGAGAATACTATTATTATTAACTCTCCTGGAAAATAACCGTTCTGTCTCTTGGTGACGGAGTTCAGCGACTTCAACTCGAAAGACTTTTGTTCAATGTCAATTTCAAGCTAGACATGGTCATGTATTGCGGTTGTTACTAGGAGTTAATCATCTACCTGCTGAGGTCAGGATGCTCACCCCGCAATACGTCATCCGAACGGCTCTGCTGCTCACTTGTGTGACCAGATCGATCACTACCCTCCTACCCACCAGGATGATTGCACGACTCCTTCTTCTGCCTGTGCTGATCGGTACTCGGCAGCTGCGAACAACCCCGACTAGTCCCTGCGTTCAACGCAGTGCGAACCCTTGGTGTTCTACGATGCATCTACCTGAGTGTGCCAATGACTCCTCAGCTCATGACCTCTGTAGACTGATCTGTGTGTCGGAGCATGGCGTGATTAACCTTAACATCAACTCTTACCTACTCTGTCGACCAGACAAGATCTAATTCCAACCATGACCGATGCCTTGGGCGAGTTTTACTTATGCGAGCAACGTCGCGTACTGCATAGTTCACGTCCTCGCGCCCCACTGATGCTTTCCACTTCGTTGAGTGTCCTAATGACCTTTCAGTTTCAAAAGTTCTTCATTCTACTACTCGTTCGTGGCTGGTGAAGCACTCGCGCAAAAATACCCAGGAGTTAGGGAGATTCTCAATACCGTAT